CTCTATGAGGAGAATTATGGAAACAGGATTGGTGGAAGATCTATTAACAATCTGCGTTATGCAGATGACACAACCCTGCTTGCTGAAACCGTAGTTTCTAAGACTGTAATATTTAAGGACGCACACAACTACATCTTTCTCCTGTACAGATGCTGGCAGAGTCAAGCCATCAATGTCAGTTAACAGATGGTCATTTAGCAACTGCGACAGCAGGGCTTCTTGGAAAGAGGTTCAAGTGGATGGGAAGGAATTCATGCTTCGTCAACAATCTTTCATCAAAAGCTTTGCTATAATGTTTACACATGCCTCATTTTAGTTACAGTTTGTAAATGCTCACAGATGACTTAGAGAATTGCTACTTCAATGATTCTGTTTCCGTCCATGTCCTTGATTATTTTTTTCATAGCTTTCTGGCTGATTATTTTTTTTATTTTATTATAATTTGAGTGAATATTTACAAATCATATTGGGTTTTTATTCAATTATTAGTGAATATTTTGTTTTATAACATTAATGACAATTAATTTATGTAATTAATTAGCCACAATGTCTGATAAAATTCATATTACTGTTGTTGTCAATTCCCATTGAGTTGAGCATGACTCATATTTATATTACCTTTCTTTTTATCAAACTTAATGAGTATCTATTATATATTTATTAATTTTTACTCCCTTCTACCTCCCTTCTCATATCTTATAGCTTTAGGTAACTAATTATACTTTCAGAACAGGATTTAGAACAAATTGGAACATAGACAGAGACCTTGGGGACTGATGTTCAACATTTCAGATCCCTACGGTTAAGAGAGCTAAGGAGGGAGGGAGGGAGAAAGGAGTGATGAAGGGGTTACAGGAATGATTTAAGCCATAAATACATCCTTGGGAGGAGTTTCTAAAATGAATGTTTCTACTAGCCAGGCTTTTGTGCAGACACTGAAGAGGTGGTGTTGTTTCCAAAGTCTTGGCAACGTCAAGGAATCAAGACTCATGTCTATGGCACTGACAAAGTTGGAGAGAATCAAACTTCAGATTAGTGAATGTATCAAATGAGTCTTTTCGCTGAGGTCTCACTGCAGACAGCTCCAGAGCAGAAAAGGTAAGAGTAGATATCTTGCTTCTTGGACAAAGAAAAGTAACAGCATTAATGGCCAGGAGAAATGTCATGAGTTCCAAAGACTATCTGACTTGTATAAAAACTGACTTCCATAATTATTACCAAAACTATTTCCATAATTTCAAATTAAAGACAAAGATTCCTAGATGTATGAGACAAAGTGTTATAAGAGTTGCCTTAAAATAAGCCTAGACTTAAGATTAAACTATGTTTCTACCTTGCTTTCATCACATCTGAAATTTCAGTCTCTCTCATTCTCATTACAACCCTATCAAATACTATGTGACCTTCTCCTCACATGAAATCCAGATAAGGTCTAAAGAGAGGCTGTCTTTTAAAAGCTTGACCCTGTACCCATCATAAAGCCCAAAAACTTTCTAGAGAAAGTCATCATCTAATAGATGATAAACGAAGTCAAGATCAAGTTAGCAAAGATCCTGGCATTACCTATCTCTTTGACTAAGGACAGTGATCTCATTGACCAAGGACAATGATTGGCATAGTTGTGCTTCCAGTGGAAGCACAGCCCTGGCGGCACAGTGATTAAGTTCCTGGCTGCTAAACAAAAGGTTAGTGTTTCATATCTTTCAGAAACTATGGAGAAACAAGCTCCTTCCGTGATGAGTATAGCCTTGGTAAATCGATGGGCTAGTTTATTCTGACCTATAGGGTCATTACTGAGTTAATAACTGACTCAAAAAGAGCAAGAGGTTTGGTTTGCTTAATATCTCTAACACCTGAGAAATACACAGCATATAACATGTTGTTCAGGATAGAATTGTTTTCTTTCCATACCTCTCATAGGTATCCTTGAGATCTTTCTAGATGCTGGAGGTACAGAATGATATATCATTCAAAGTTTATCAAGTGTTATAGAATATGTATAAAACAGTTCAGTTGCTTAAATTTGGGGATTTTCCCAGAAAGGCAGGGATGTAAAATGGTTGGTAAGTCAACTTGTAAATGTAACTCAATCAGTCAATGTTTCTAAAAAGAAATATAAGTTATGTACTAGGCTTTATGTCAGAAATTAAGAACTGAAAATAGATGGGAATCTATGGAAATAAACTAAATAGAATGGTGGCTTAGATGTTTGAGTAATTCAGAAAATAAGAGAGGCCATAAGAAAGTAAAGGTTACACAAAACTACAATAAAAAAAATAAAGGGACAAAGGAATTGAGACAGAAGTATCAGAAAAAGGAGGAAAGTCAAATGAAAGTGGAAGGAATTTGTGAATGATAAAGGTCGAAATAGGACATTTTTGTGTCTACAGCAGCCCTGAGTTTCAATGGCAGGATCTGAGACTTTCAAAATTTGCTTCTCACAAATGAAATCCCAAGTCCCTCCTAAGGTACAGTCCCTATTAGTGGATGAATAGCTGGAGCTGGTGAGACAATAAGCTTAGTGGAGATTTTTCAGCCTTCCTAGAACTCATAAGTAATTTCTTGTACTGAAGAGATCCTCTAAATAAACTTAATATAGAAATACTCAATTTTTCAGTGAAAATAGGAAAGAGAAGTGACAATCCCACTCATGCTCCTAAACATTACAAAGAGTTCAATCATACCTCAATTCTCCCTATTACATAGTAGATAGAAACTACCCTTGAATTTGTTAAATGCATCACCTTATACATGTAACAAATTGCTACCTCCCTATTTTCAAATAGGTACTATATTTTCATTTATGCATGTCCTATTAGCAAACACTACTTTCTGATGTCTAATATACAACACATTTTTACTGTCCCTTCTCTTATGTAGGAAACTTTAATGGCCTCATTTATAGGGAGCAACTAACGCAAAGATCGTGCTTTTCTGATGGTTCAAATCCACCAGCAGCTCTCTGCAAGAAAGGTGAACTCTCTCCTCCTATGTGATACACAGCCTCAGAGAGCCAGTGGAAGAGAGACTATAACCTGGTTCTGACTTTACAGCAGTAAGTGAGCGTATTTTCTTAATATTATGAAATATTAGATAATTTTGAAGGATATTTCAATGTCAGGTAACATAAACTTAGAAGCGTATGCATTTTGGAGACATCTGTAGGTAACTCATGACATTTTTAATATCAGAAATATATTTACTTACATTTTATTGACCATGCAGAGGCATTTGATTTTATGTGTCATAACCACTATAGCTAACATTTGGAAAAAGGAAAATACTAGATCATTTAATTGTGCTTATATAAGAAGCAGTTATCTGAACAGAACAAGGAAACATCACAAGGTTTTACAGTTAGGAAAGGTGTGTATCAAAGTTGTCTCTTTTTTCCATACCTATTCCATTTTTATGCTGAGAAAATCACTCAAGAAGCTGGACTGTATGAATAAGAATATGACCTCAGGTTCGGAGCAAGATTCATCAGCAACCTATATTATGCAGATGGCACAACCTTACTTCCAGAAACTGAAGCACTTACTGCAGAAGGTCAAAGATTATTGCTTTTACTTGGAAGATTCTGTTCTCAAAATCAATGTACTCGAATTTTATAAATAAACTAGTACTTAATTAAAAAAATTCAAAAAAATAAAACAAAAATACTCATCACTGGAACAATAAGTAACATCATGATACATGGCTGGAAGATTTCATTTTATGTAGATCCACAATCACCATCTATAGTAACATCAATCAAGATATCAAAAACCATGTTGCACTGGGAAAATCTGCTACTAAGGACCTCTCTAACATACTAATGAACAATGACATCAGTTCAAAACCTAAAGGGCATCTGATGAAAACCATGGTCTTTTCAATAGCTTGCTATGCATCTGAAAGTTAGACAATAAATAAGAATAACAGAGGAAGAGTCAGTGCTTTTGAATGTTGGTGTTGGAGAAGAATACTAAATATTCTATAACTGTCAAAAGAATTAACAAATCTGTCTTGGAGTCAGTGCAATCAGAGTGCTCCTTAAAGACAATGATGGTGAAACTTCATGTAATATACTTTGTATATGTTGTCAATAGAAGTGAATCCTTGGGATAAAAACCATCATGTTGATAAAGGGGGAAGTTTAGAGAAAGAGGAAACACCTCAGCAAGGTAGATTGACATAATGACTGTAACATGGGTTTGAGTGTATCAGAGATTGAAAAGATGGGCAGAATATGAAAAGGTTCATTTCTGTTGCTCTTACGGTTGCTATGTAGTTGCTGGAGGGCACCCAACAATAACCCAAAATCTCCAGTGCTTTGCCAATTGAATATTCCCTCCAACTATATCAAGTACTAGTCATTTCCTTAAATTAAGACTGATCTATTTTCCTTTTCTTATATGCTTATTTTGCCTTGGGATTTTAATGTCTGCTCTTCCAAAATTTTAGAAACAATGTTTTATTGGTATGCCAGGTCTCATACATTCTGAGAAGTCTTTATGTCTAACCTTATTACCTCCAATAAAGATAAAAAGTACCATAGGCAGAATAATGTAAAAAAATTCCAGTGTAATTATAGTAATAGTCAAATGCAATGATTTTTTTAATTTTCATTTTTTTCTTCATGTTCTGGGTTGTAAGATCTGTAAAAATGTCAAACAAGTCTATTCTACATATACTGAATGTTGTATCTCCAGCATATTGCTCAATAGTTTTATATATACTGAAGTCTGAGTAACAGTTACTCCTACAATCTATTTCCCAATATCCAGGAGTCTCCAAGGAATGGTTGAATTACTACGCTTGCTGTCATCAGATAGACGATTTATGAAGAGGTAGCACATTCCAGAAGGACTTCAAAAGATCTAGAAGATTCTATTGCTTTATCTGGAAGAAAAACTTCCCAATTTATGAGTCCCACAATGTGGCTAAATACCACTATTTCCCCCTTCCTTCTGACTGGTTTTCCAGGCATGGAGAAGGCACATCACTGGATCTCCATCCCATTGTTCGTAGTGTACATCTCCATAATCCTTGGCAATGGTACCCTTCTCTTTCTCATCAGAGATGACCATATTCTTCACGAGCCTATGTACTATTTTTTAGCCATGCTGGCAGCTACAGACCTTGGGGTGACTCTGACCACAATGCCTACAGTGCTGGGTGTCCTGTGGCTAAATCATAGGGAGATTGGCCACGGAGCCTGCTTCTCTCAGGCTTATTTTATTCATACTCTTTCTATTGTGGAGTCAGGTGTCTTGCTTGCCATGGCCTATGACCGCTTCATTGCTATCCGCAACCCCTTGAGATATACCTCCATACTTACCAACACTCAGGTAATCAAGATTGGTGTGGGGGTATTGACAAGGGCTGGTCTGTCAATTATGCCAATAATAATTAGACTGCACTGGTTTCCCTATTGTCGATCCCACGTACTCTCCCATGCTTTCTGTTTGCACCAAGATGTTATCAAGCTAGCCTGTGCTGATATCACCTTCAATCGTCTCTACCCAGTTGTGGTTGTGTTTGCAATGGTCTTGTTGGACTTTCTCATCATCTTTTTCTCCTATATTTTGATTCTTAAGACTGTCATGGGCATTGCTTCTGGAGAAGAGAGGGCGAAGGCCCTCAACACTTGTGTTTCCCACATCTGCTGCATCCTGGTCTTCTATATAACTGTAGTTGGTCTGACGTTTATTCATAGATTTGGAAAGCATGCGCCTCACGTAGTCCACATCACAATGAGCTATATCTACTTCCTTTTCCCACCCTTTATGAACCCTGTCATCTATAGCATTAAAACCAAGCAAATCCAAAATGGTATCCTACGTTTGTTATCTCTATCTCATTCAAGAACGTGATCTGAAACATCAATATCTGAGGAGGAATTCAGGATCCTGGGCAGAGTGACATCTTTGTTGATAGAAGCAACCTTGAAAGACAATTTCTACAAAAGCCAATCGTGCTACCATTTAGTGCATTTTTCTTATTTTTTAAAAGAATTTATACTGGTTTATTTAAAAAGTTTGTACACATTGTTTTTCACACAGAATATTTCCCATTTCTTCATCCCCCTTCCCCTCTCTCCACCTATCAAATTATGCAACCCTATGATTAACACTATACCTACCCCAGACATCCTCAGCACACTGCTCCATCCCCCCGACCCTGAACTTGGATCCTCATCTTCTTTTTAAGTAATGGTCTTATACAATATTTGTCTTTATGGGACTGAGTTAGTTCACTAAGCACGAAGATCTCTAGGCCCTCCCAAGTTAGGTAGGAATTTACAAAATCATTGCTCCTGCATGCTACATAGTATTCCATAGTGTGAATGTACCATAATTTCTCAATACATTTGATTGTGGTTGGGCATTTGGGCTGTTTCCATCCATATTCTTGTGATGATGAATAACACAACTATGAATATTGGTGTACAAGTCTCCGTTTATGCCTCATTTTCTCAGGGTATATTCCAAGCAGTGGAATAGGTGGAACATATGGAATTTCTATGTTCAGCTTTTTGAAGAAGCACCAAAATGACTTCCAGAGTGGTTGTACCATATTATATTATCATCAACAATGTATAAGGGTTCCTATCTCGACACATCCTTTCCAACATTTAGTACTTTCTGTCCTGTTAAACCTTGCCACTGCTACTGGAGTGAGATTGTATCTCATTTTGCTTTGATTTGTATCTCTCTCTTGCCAGTGATTCTGAGCATTTCTTCATGTGTCTGTTGGCCATCCACACATCTTCCTGTGTGAAAATGTTGTCCACGTCTTTTGCCCATTTTGTAATAGTATTATCAGTCTTTTTCTTGTAGAGGTCCTATAGGGTTCTGTAAACTTTTGATATGAGACCCTTGTCTGAAATGGTATTGCCAAGCGTTTTGGGGTTTTTCCCAGTCAGTAGGTTTTCTTTTCACTCTGTTGGAAAACGTTTTTGATGTGCACAGAGATTTGATATTTAGAAGGCCCCATTTATCAATTTCATCCTCTCCAGATGTGCATTTCTGGTTGTATTTGGCAATCTCTTTATACCATAGACTAGGCTATCTAAGCTTGATTCCATTTTGTCTCTGATGAACTTTATGATCTTGAACTTTGCTCCCCAGGTCCCTGATGCACCTTGAGTTGATTTTGTATGTGGTTTCAGATGTTGATCCTGTTTCAGTTTTCTGCAGGTAGTAGTCCCATTTTTCCAGCATCATTTGTTGAAGAGGTTGTCATTTCCCCCATTTGATAGATTTTATTTCCTGTCAAATATCACTTGACCACACATAGTTGTATATTTCTGTGTTCTCAATTTTGTTCCATTGGTCTATGTGCCAGCCATTGTACCAGTATCATGCTGTTTTAGTCACTACCGCTGTGTAGCAGGTTTTGAGGTCAGGGACTGCTACGCCTCCCACTTTATTTTTGTTTTTCAGAAGTGCTTTGATTGTTTGGGGCTCTTTCCTCTCAAAATAAAGTTGACAATTCCCCTGTCAATCTCCTTGAAAAATTAATTTGGTATCTGTATTGGGAATGTGTTGAATATGTAGATCACTTTTAGTAGGATTTTTATTTTCATAATATTCAAGAATACGGCACACTTTTCCATTTAGTTAGGTCTTTTATTGTGTCTTGCAGAAATGTTCTATAGTCTTCTTTGTATAAGTTTTTTTTTTGTAACTCTAGTTAGGTTTACTCCCAAGTACCTCAATTTATGATTGGCTGTTATAAATGGTATTGCTTTCTTCTTTTCCTTCTCTGAGTTCTCTTTGTTACTATGGAGGAATCCCACTGATTTTAGGATATTGATCACATATCCTGCCACTCCACTAAATTGGCCCACTAACTTTAAGAGGTGTTTTTTTTAGTCCTTGATGTTCTCTGTGTACTCTATAGTATCATAGGCACATAACGATAGTGTAACCGTCTCTTTGCAAATCCAGATGTCTTTTATTTTCTTTAGAGCATTATTTCAACCTTCTGAGTTATAATGACATTATACATACATAACGACATACAAGTTGTCATGCAAGTATGTCTGTATACATAATTATAAATATGTGTATATGTTATTTATAAATATTATATACATATGTGTATATGTACATATGCAGTTATATGTATGCAACTGTACAAATGCACATGTAGACACATATCATATTAATGATCAGCATTTGTCTGTCATTTTGTTTTATTTAGTAGCTTGCATGTGGCTGTAATGCTAAATATTATGCCACTAGTATTTCAGGAACCAGCAGGAATCCCCCATGGTATTTTCTGTTGCTATGAAAGCATGTTAAAATATGACCATGTATAAAGAAGACTGAAGGAAATAAGGAGGCTTTGAATTATAGTGTTGGCAAAGAATTTTTATGCTATCATGGTCCACCAAAGAGTAAATAAATCTGTCTTACAAGAAGAAATTAAAGATGGAGCCAGCATGCTGCTTGGTAGCGAGGGTGGTGATGCTTCATCTCATCTCCCATACGTTGAGTATGTTATCCAGAGGAACCAGTCTCTGGAAAAGTCATCATATTTGGAAAAGTAGAAGATGCTCAGTGAGGTAGATTTACAGTGACTGGGACAATGAGCTTAAGCACAGCAGATATTGTGAGGATGGCAGAGGATCAAGGCAAAGCTTCTGTTATCCATAGGGCTGATAGGAGTCAGAGCTGACTCAATAGTACCAAAGAACAATGATATTAACTAAGTATATCTTCATGCCTAACTAATATTTATTGTGTTCCCAGATAGCTCATGCTGTTCGGTACACTTGAAGCACCTTGTGGTCTACAGCATGGTTCGACAGTATTGGACTCAAAGCAATTTTTTTAATATAGTCTGTACATAAAGGACCTTATATATCTAGCTGTAAGACATTTTAGACTATAGATTATTTCCAGCTTCTTCACTTGAATGGAACTCATTACTGTTTCTAAAGAGGGGAAAAATCATGTGAAGTAATAATCTTTACTCTGTTCTCAATTATTTGAGATTACAACTCTGGAAAAGAATATTTTTAAGAAATCAGCTAAGCAAAATTTTATAAATATTAATAATAGAAGATAGAACATTCCTAACCTGAATGACCATTGTCTTGGTGAGTTATTGCCAGATCTTGTTAAAAAGAATTTTTTTTTCACAATTAAGAGGTAGCTAAGGCTCAATTTTAAAGTATATCATAAATATTGTTGTTGATTGCCTTTGAGTCGAACACTACTCGTAGCCACCCTTTGAACAAAAAGGCCTGAAGCCCCTCTACAACTATCGACATTTATCAAAGTTCATAGAGTTTCTGGAGGCATGTTAGAAAGTGGATGCCACTCCTGCTTCCAGTGTCATCGAGTATGGTATGGAAAAAAAATTATGAGTTGTGAAAAATATGGCCATGAGTGTAGGAAATTGAGAAAAGGGAAAAATGGAGTTAGCACTGATCATTAAGAGATAATTGTCTGTCTCCAAGTACCTGCCCCAGTTTGTTCATGGGGCGGGAATGGAGAGTAAGGAACACAGTGCTCTGGTCAGCTGAAGAACTAGTATCCATGAGTCAAATGATAGATTTGAACTTTGGATTAAGAAATACATCTCCATAGCTAACAAGAAATAATAAAATACTGGATTTGTATAAGGATTACGCAGTATAAATGACTGCTTTCTGCCCTAGACTTTATCACAATGACACTCAAAGTGGCCTCTGAAAAATCACACCTACTCCTAGTGATAGAATTGAGCAGTGGGGTGGTTTCAGAGCTCCTGGGATCAAACATGGAGAAAATCAAACAAGTATTTAGACTTTCTATACTCTCATAATAAATGATCTGTGTTTGATTGAACCAAAAAGCTATTTTCCAGATTGTCTTTTGTTTTAATGTTTTGTATTGTTATTGTTGTGGTGGTGGATTTGGCTTGGGTTCCCCTCTCCTGGTTCAAATTGACTTTTGCTATTTATAATCATTTTTCTTCTGTCATAACTACAAGCACGTCTCCTAAGTTAAGTCTTATTTGCTACTGTTTTAAGTCCCTGCCACACAACTGATTCTTACTAAAATAATATTGTTGATTAAGATAAAAGAGATTGTCTCCCTCTATCTTTTCAATTTTGTGTCTTATCCATGAACATACCTACCCCTTGAATGTCTCTATTTTTGTCCATTACAGTATATTCTGAGATTGGGAACTCCAAAATTGATTTATGATATAATATCCTGACAATGACTATAACAGTGGGCTCAGGTGTATTAGAGATGGTGAGGCTGGAACAAGATAGAGAAGGGCTCTGATTTGTTGCTCATAGAATCACAATGGATTGTAGTCGCTTGATAAACAATATCAATGTGTAATAATAATAACAACATAATAACCTCAGAAAATAATTTTTGAAGTCAGAGTTCATTCATTCTTTGTGCCTTTGAAAATTATGTCAGAGGGGTTTTAGTCACATTGAAGGAATTTTTTCTTGATTTTTTTGTCTACATTAATTGTGGGGTTCATATGCATTGTCTGCCAATGTATATATTTCGTAGATACTCCTAAACTCCTAAAGATTCCAACTTTTTTTCTGGTTTGTTTGGGTTTTTTTACGCAATTGGGAAAGAAGAATCAGAAGATCACATTAGAGGAAAAGAGAAGAGTTTGGTTTTTCTTTCATTGAGTTGAATTTTACAAAATAAAACAAAGTTCTGAGATCATGATGGCCTCGGTTGAATGTCTCAAAAACAGAAATTATGTGGGAGAAGTTGGGAGAAATATTTCTAATAGATAAGATGTTTTTATCTTCTCTGTTCACCACGAACACATATGCCTCACTGTAGAAACAAATCCTGAGAGTTGTCTCTAAAAGCTAGAGGAAAAAAGGCACGATCCA